ACTGACCAATGCTTAACTCATCAATTTATTAACTTCCTACAAGACTTGCCTGCGCTCAGACCTGTTCTTCATTACATATTCTTTCTTTCTACTTACAATCGACTCAGAAGGATTTTGTCAGGGATGTGTCAGGGCACACCCGCCTGACCCGGTTCCACCCAGGCCCACCTGGGCCCACCTCACCCGCTCACCTGCTCACCCGCTCCCCACTACCCATCCTTCCTCCCTCTTCCCTCTTTCCTCTTTCTCCTTTATTTCACTCTCCCTTTCTGTTTATTCTTTCTATTTACACGGACCACCTTCCCTTGTATCATTGTACTGTTGACCCGTCTGGCTCGGACACCCCGGACGACTTCCCGCTATGCCCAGCATGTGCACCTGCAGCGGACGCCCTCGGGATCCCCTGCGGGGATACCCGGATGGCTGCGGCCCTCTCCGTAGATGACGTGGCACCCGTCATGTGACCCAAGCCGCATGTACATAAATGTACCTGAAGTGGGAACTGAAGAAGTAACCTTCTTCTCACGTTTTCCACTTCAGGTAAGTAGTGTAGTTCTTCCTTTTAATAACAATTCACGTTTTCCACTTCAGTCTAAGTGGCCAGGGACTACAGTCCCAGATCGGGCCCATCAGTACGCAGGCCCGCTTCGTCCCCCGAGAGGGTCCCTCCACCGGGCGCTACAGCTGGGCCCCCTCCACCCCGGACGCGTCCCTGACAGGATGGCTCGAGGAAGGCAGAGGTAGCGGCGTAACGCTCGGCGCTAGCGGCCCGGACGGCGGCGGGGCGGTGAGACCGTATAGTGGATAGCCCTTACTCGGGCTTACGTCCCTGTGTGGCTTCTTAGGCTGAAGCGGGAAATGTATTGTTATTAGGGTGAGAAGCCAGACTAAACTAGGGTACTTGCCTGAAGCGGGAAATGAGAAGAAGGTTACTTCTTCGGTCCTGCTTCGGCTTAGTTTATATACATGTGTGAATGGGTCATGTGGGGTTGCCACGTCACCCTCGGACGAAGCCGGGTTACCGTGGGTGGTTCCGCAGTCGATCCCGAGTGTTGGAGGGGAAGTACAAGTAGAAGTGTGCGGCGCATCCGGTGTTGCAGCGCCCCTATGGGGTGCTCAGCATCGGACGCATCCGTGCTACAAGGGTAGGAAAGAAAGAGAGGTCGTCTGTATAAAGATAGAAAAAGAGAAGAAGGAAAGGAGAGAGAATGAGGGAATGAGACAAAAGGAAAAGGAGGTGGCGGCGGCGGCAGCAGCGTGCCCTGACAGATTTCTCCACCTGAAAACGCTCATATCTGTTAGGGTCATACCCAGGCTTTGGAGTGTTACTCTGCACAGAGTCATACACCCATAGCAATATTACGCTTTTTTCGACGCTGAAAATTTGTCATCTCTTTCCCCTTTTGGTTTCTTTCTTTTCACTTTACATAATTTTTCTTACATTTCAAGGTGTCCACACCCGTGGTCATGGGGACCCTGGTCAGGTCCGAGGTCGGACTGCGTGTCCTGGGTCTGTTGGTCTGAACAAATGGAGTTACAATGGAGTAACAGATTTAGCTACAAGCACCTGCACCAACCCGCCATCCTGCCACCATCTCTAAAGTCTTCTCTCGTGCTAAGAGATCTTCCATCTCTGTTTCCAGCGCTAAGTGGTGCTCACCCTGGATCCAATAAAGATCCCACATTGTATTGTGTGTCAAATTAAAGATATCTTGTATCCTCTTCCCCTGTAAGCTTACACCCTGAAAGCAAATCATGAATAAATCTTCCGAGAAGAATGGGAATGAGACTTACTTGGGGATCTTGATGGGAGGTTCCATGCACAATTTATTCCGTGTTGCTGTCACTTGTGAGGTCTTGGAGAAGGTGGGCATGGAATGGATGATAGTCGTGGTTCACATCATCAGTGATGGATATGGGATGCCCATGCTCAGGCTCCAGACGACTCCCAGAAGGATCACAATCACTGGCAGAAGGAGCAAGTCCAAATGAGCGACAAATTCTCTTCCGGTGTGAGCCTTCCACTGTATGTTGGTGCATGCATTTCACAAGATAACAAGCTAGCTTTGTGTCATGACCGACAAATCCCAGGGCTCCGTCAGTGGCGAACCAATGCCGATAGGCGAATCCGCCGACCCGACACCCATCCTAACCAGCCCCCAACCCCATGCCTGGCCCCCTGCCTTACTGCGTGAGACTTGGCCAAGAATCAGAACCTAGACCCTGCCGGTATTCCAACCTTACCTCCAGTTCCTGAGCCCTTGGCGCTCCCGGCATTCAGTCACGCCTGCCTTGTCTCCATCTGAACCACACTCATCGCTTCCCGCTATGTGGTCACAGCCATGCCCCGCTTCCGTCCACTCCGCACCCTCTGCCCACTCCACACCCTCTGCCCATCTCTGCACCTTCTGGCCACTTCTGGTTGCCCTTGACACCTCTGGTCAGGTCAACACTCCCACTCCCCTCTGTACCTCTGTTGGCCTTCATGCTGTCCTTGTGTGACAGTGCTGGCAGATCAACTTCTGTTCGCGGACTTGTGTCGGCACTGCACCGACCCCGCTTATTTGCGGACTTGTATCGGCGCCGCGCGCTGACCTCCGCTTTTCCTCTGGCCATTTGTCACTTGGCAGCTTATCATTCATTCCTTGCCGAGTGCCATTTATTGTTTGCTTCCCTGCCAATATCGGCATTTGATCCCCTCTTTATTGGCACTAGGTTATTGATCTCATTCAGTTATTCATCAATAACCCTTGCCACTTATTGTTTAGTGATCTGTTCCTCCTTTCCAGTTCCCGGGCTCTTGTCCTTATTTAGTTTGACAATTCCCGCTTATCTCCGCGCCGGACCGTGCCGGACTGACCGGCCTTTCTATATTCCCTCTTGCCTATTTATATACCTTGTAAATACTTTCGGGGACCCCAGTCTGAAATCAACTAGAGTACCCCCCTGTCTGGTCTGAGTCTCTCCTTCTGCAAAGGGGGCTTCCCCCCCCCTGAGTCCGTGCTCGCGGAGTCCGCGCTCCTCCTACAGGTCCGCTCCGCCCGCAAGTCTTGTTTGAAGTCCGCTGTGAGTGTCAATCCGTAAATACGGGATCTCCCCCAAACGTCAAGCTCAGGGCACAGCGCTCCACCTGAGTCGCTGAGGCCGCGATCCCACTCTGCTAACCTTGAACAGCGCTTCCGGACGCGCCGCATATTTCCGCCCACATATCCGCATGCGCGCTCCAACAGACCTCTGCCACAATCTCCGACTCCGACAATATCCCAGCCTCTGACAAAATCCAGTCTCTGACACTTTGCTACTGTGCCTTGAATATCAGGTGAAAGCGCGAGAGCTTAGGATTCATCAGTATGGTAATGAATACGCTTGAATCAAATTTACGAGATGTCTGCATACCAGTCACCTGTAGTTCTTCTGCTGAGCGCCTTTCTGTAATGCTTCCATCTGAAATACCCTCGGAATCCCGAGCCTCCAGTGTATTTGTATGCAAAGCTACATATCCCTTGCACTTTGCGACTTGGTGGTTATTATTTCCAAAAAACCTATCAAGATGATAGGAATGTCCCCACATGGGACTAAGAACACCCATGTTGTGCTAGGGAAGGATGGTGAGGATAGGCGAATAATGAATCATGCTCCGACATTTTGGAAAATCCCAACACAAACTTAAAGCGTGGCAACTCAGGGTGGCGAAAGGCCACATTTGCAAATTACTCAGTCATTGCGGTATCTAATGCATAATGTAGCATACTGTACTGGCATGACCAACAACCGGTCACGTGTCATGCAGGCCTTCTGGTTGGGTGCTTTTACAAAGTTTGTCACGCATCATGCTGGCTTTGCGGTTGCAATGTCCGGTGTCACGCTGTTTGGTGGCTCCAAGTGGCTGTGTGATTTTTCGATTGGATTTGGTCACATGTAAAACTAAAAGTGATACATTTCCATCTCTTTTTCTAGATTTTTCGCCTGACTCGTTTACCCCCCAAAAAAAAAACGGATAAATTTGCAGTTGAAACACGAGATTTTTTCAGTTCAATTATTATTTTCAAATTTACTCGGATATAAGACTATAGACCCGTTGGCACTCAGGTATTTCCGGCTCTTGTCACGCTGTTCCAGGCTTAACCGGTTGGCTGTCACGCATCACTCGGGCTTTCCGGTTGAATGTCCGACGTAAATTTCTGTCACGCTCCAAAACCATGCGGTTGTTGGTCGTGCCAGTACAGTACATCCTGTGCAAAGAAGTGAGATGTGGAAGGTCGCGAACGACTTTGAATGTTGGGATTTCCTGTTGAAAGATGGCACGGACCGTGGGATTGACTTGCGACCATTGAGTCGGACCCACGGACTTCGGTCTTTGGGACCTCGTGGGACCAGGTCTGTGCAACACTGGCCCCTTGGTATCGGTTCAGTTTGATCAGTACCATCATATCTGAAGGCCACCATGTATGACCTTCACTCGCTGCCATGGCTGAATGTTTTCCCCTGTATCGGGTTGTTGCGAGAAAGATGATCGAATTCCATTGACGCTTGCAACATAACAACATAGTTATTTGATGAGAACGGAACAAGTGAGTAGTGCAGAGTTTGGCGAAGCTTGAAGCGCAAGCACTCTAGGTCAAAAGCTCCCTCGGAATCTAGCACACCAATCTTTCCCATGATAGCCGAGAAACTTGCTAGAATGATTCACGATCTGGTATACCCCCTTTTCCCGAGTGGATGTGCCAAACTTAGAGCAAACACCCCAGGTGGTTGCTTACACTGAACGGCCCGTCATTCATTGCTGGTTTTGGGCTGCTAATTGCTCATGGTACCGCCGAACCCGGTATACTGAAGTTCTGGGGGAGGGGGGTCTCCTGAAGAAGGCATGTTATTCTATCTTCCATCCTGGAGCGACAGCAGCTATCTAGGTTCCCGAACCATAATAACAGATGGGGATTGATGGTGCGGATTTGATCGTCATCACCCTTCTCCATGCAGATGCAGATGTAATTGGGACACCAGGCGAAAGACTCGGTATCGTGTCGGTAGTGACGTGGAGCCAAACCCTCGGATGCCTGATCACTGAATAGGTCCAGAGTCATGAGTGGCATAGTCCCAGTGTTGTCCTTTCCACTTGGTTTCCGATTCTGTTGGTCCAATCGGGCCAGGTCGAAGTCGTTAAGAACCCTTTGCTTCGTGGCTGGAGTGTGCATCAGGTTGTCTACGCTGATGTCCCCATGCTGGATCTTGTTGTCCCACAGTACTCAATGGCCTGCCAACAGATGAATGAGCAGAAAAAAAAACCTTACAGAAGAAACAGTCCACGAATGCGATTGGTATGTCTTCCTTGCCCAGATACTTGAGTTTTCCCAAATATCTGGATATGTTGATCCGGAGCACTCGCGCGCCAGTCGTCTCTGGATCCAGGAACTCTCAGCTGAACTTCGTCGAACACGTTGCATACGGAGGGTCGATATGGTCGAACATCGGGGGGATGTTATCCTTCATCAGGTTGTTGGTTTCACCGATTTGCGTTGCCTCCTTGATGATGTCCACCTCACACTGGTATGCGTCTCCTCCGGCCAGGAAGACTTGGTGGTCAAGTCACCCTTGGGGGTAGCTCCAAACACGCCCGTCGAACGCCCAACCAGGCTGACCCCATTGTAGATGGGATTGTTGAAGTATTATCGCCGATGGTGGCTTTAAGGCAATGTGAACCATCAATGTCCCCTTCTTGGCGAATGCTTGAATCTCGAACGCAGTGAAGAAATCCCAGCGCGCCAGATCGAACCTTGCGATGAGAAGCAGGAGCAGGCGGAAGCGTGCCAACTCGTCGATGATGTCGAAGCCCCTCGTTCGAATAATGCCTTCTTTCCACTCTCGTTGCCGTTCAACTTCTCTTCACGCTGATAATAGCATAATCCCACTCCGAAGCCAATCGTGCCATCCATGAATGGGAGCGTTAACCCTTTTGCGCATGGCGCTCGCAAGCCCGAGCCTCCCCTAGCTTTGCCATCTCGGTCTTAGTGAAGAGTTGGACTTGCATGTAGGTAGGGATATTTAGTTTTTACTACTTCAGGTGAACCCCATACACGAACACAAATGAACGTTCTCCGACCCAGTTATGATCATCAGTACGCCGGATGCATGACCTGGTGTCTGATGCATGTGAGTGATCATATTATGCTAGCAGAGTAGGCACCAAGTTAACAACAGCAGACTTGATTGCATGATGCAGATCCCGAAATTTCGGAGCGCCACGCGAACTGGACCCAACGATTAATGTGATACAAAGGATGAGCTGGACCACATGCGCCCGGAACGGGCATCAGATTTAAGCACTTGACATTCAGAAACGAAGCCACTACCTTCGAAGTGGTGGTGAGAAGGGGGACTAGCTCGCCTTCGCATGTCGCAGGACCACAAGATAATCAAATAAGCAACGTGGATTTAACTATTGATAACCCAGCGTTGCTTGCATCCATGCCACTTGCAGCGGCCCGGTACATAGCAGCAAGTTAAGTTTCAGCGCATTGGAGATAGACCAAAGGAAGTAACGTAGAGCTCAATAGGCACACGTCTCAGTCTCTCGTAAACAGTGCAATAAGAAGTAATAGTAATATTGTATGCAGCTACCTGGATAATAGCGCACCATATGGGGGGGCCGAGCCATAAAATCGACTAATGCAGGGGGCGTAACCCAATGCCAGTGGTGAAAAAAATACAAAAGTGGACCTGATCGGCTTACCATTGAAAAATTTCTTCTTGCCCAACAATGAGGGAACGTAAGATATTCCTGGACATGCAAGGATGTCAGCACGAGTGAGGAGAATGATACTTACGGTTGGGTGGACATCATGCGAGCCAACTGGCTCGCACGGTCCCACCCTAACAGGAGGGGGCTGTGAGAACATGTCCATACCGACGCCACAGGGCGTCCTGCCGAAGTGTCCCTCCTCCGCTCTCCCGAAATAAATGGAATATACCACTGTGTGAACGAATTCAATGAACATTGCTTGCGAGCTAAAAAAAAAAACACGATACGTACTATTCATATGACGGAAGTGATGTGTTCGCCACTTTGTTGTACATGTAGGTATGGCCCAGAAATAGAGTATAACGCTGATCGATGAGCTACACAAGAAGGGAGAGATCCAAGACAGAATAAGCCCGGAAACAGGGTGCCCCAAAGAAAGTAAGTTGTGACCGAAAAGCTGAGAGCTTCAAGGGGAATGGCCCGGGGCAAGGGCACACGTCGAGACCAGGTGATAGAAATGTGTTGGAGCAGAAAGGAAGGCGGGTCGTTCTTTCTCACTGTGCGTCCATTGGATAGAAAGGGGCGTGTATGGGTTCCCTACTCAATTTGCCTCCGCTTTATTGTCTACTCCCCTCTGTCAATGGAACCTGCAAGGCACGTCAAATCCATAAGGTATACAACGGGTCGTCGGAGTCCATGGGCGCCCAAACAGCCATAAGGGAAAGCAGGATGTGTAAACCCGGCAGCCAGCAAAGCAGAGGGTTGATGATGATGATAAATCTATCTTAATACCCCGCGGCCTCGTGATGACATGGCAGTGCGGCTGTCCCATCGGTACACCGTGGCGTACATGAGGGACTTTCTATACATAGTGTGTGGGTAGTCTGGGTGGTATCGTCGGGTGATAGTGATCCTCGGGGTTTGTGGTATCTGTGGGTGTTGTCGTGTTGTCGATAATAGAGATAAAAAAGAAAATAAAGAAAGAAAAATTTTTGACGCTCTCATCCCCTTGTCTGTCTGTTCACCCTGCCCGCCTCAGTACCTCGATCGCCTCTTCCCTTCATCCATCTCCATTCTCCAGCTGTGTCGTGTTTCCTTACTGAGTCCGTTGCGCTTCCTGGTCTAACCTGCGTCCCTTATCTCAGGAGTCGCAATGAGTGAACCTACAAAACCCCTCTGAGATGAGCGCAAAAAATCACGTGTTTGATGAATTTACACAAATATGAAAATGATGATATTTTGTTTGAATCCGCCAATCACAATGAAGGAAATGAATAGGATGCAAGCGTGAAGACGCACGGGCAGGGGCCCGGGCGCCTTCATAACTGTGGGGCATTTAACGGAAGGGAACAGAAAGTTGTATGCAGTAAGAAAAAAATAGTGGATGAAGGGGGGAGAGGGAATTGAGGCCAGTTTAACTATACATATATATGGTTTGGTCGAGGTCCCCAGTGATGGCAGTTTGGCCTAGCGGCCGGTGCCGGATTTTCTTCAATCCCGTGTCTGGATGGGTCTTGGTTTGAGTCCTGTATGGTGTTTCTTTTTTTTCTCCCTTAGAAAACTTTTAAGATGAAAAACTTCAATTCCGAGGGGTGATCAATGTCATGAAAAATGTACATTGGGCGGCTTTTGACTTCGTGATCAACCCCGGATCCGTGGCTGAAATCAACACTTTATATATTACTTTTAGGACCGGATCCATGTGAGGTCTACTTGGTCTAGTGGATTATAGCGCTGTTTATGACCCTGTCTCCCCCCTGCTTGTGCAGGTTCGATTCATTCTTGGTGGATTTTTTTTTGCCACAGTTATTGCACGAGGATGACTTCAATGTATATATAACACCGATAAGCAATGCTACACTAACTGCACTAAACAAACCCTATTCCGAGCACGTTCTACAATACACAAGCGCTGTAATGGTAATTAATAATTTTAGTTTGGTAATTGGGTTGGGTTGGGGAATAACAGGGAGGGGACGATGAGACCGCACGCAATGAATATTTATTACATAATAACATCACATGTAGGCAATGGTCGTTGGCTGGTTTCTAAATCAATTCCCATCATTTTTTGTTCGGCCATGATCACGTGTATATTTCCTTTTGCGCTCATCTCAGAGGGGTTTTGTAGGTTTTCTGTCGCAATGCTTTCCCTGGGTCGATTGTCGGATCTGGGCTTGTCGCCTGTTCTGGACTTTTTGATGAAGGACGAGAGTCTCTCTACACCTTTCACTCTGCCTACGAGGGTTCTGAACCTGGTCTGGTTGCTGCGTCCTAGTAGGTGCCTGTGTCTGCTCGTTCGGGGGCATTCCGCAAGGATGTGGGTCCTCGTTTGTCTGGGTTTGCCACACTGGCAATCACTACTCTCCGTTGTGATGCCGAATCGGTGATAGTATTCGCCTATATGGGCGTGTCCTGTTCGGAATTGGAGGACTCGGCTGAAGGTTTTTCTGTCGAGGTTGCGGAATCGTTTGGTGGGCTTGAGTTTTGGTGCGAACTGGTTCGCTTCGTAGAAACCTGACCTCGGGGGGTTTGGGGCATTCACCCATCGGTGCGTCCATTCTTCGTTCATCTCTCTCTTGCGTAGGCTTTCCATGTAAGATAGGGATTTGAATTTTGGCCAGGCTGGGCTTAGGCGGGCACCTTCCTTGGCTAGTTGGTCCACTCTCTCGTTGCCTGGTATCCCGAAGTGGCCTGGGCACCAGTGCAGCGCGATTTTGATGTCTTCGAATTCGGTTAGTATTTTGCATACTGTTTTCCTGAATTCTCTCACCGTCTCCTGTGCTTTGTGTGGTTTGCCTTGGAATACGCGTTTCAGTGCCCCTGTGTTATCTGCATATATGACAATGTGTGTGGGTTTTTTGGTGACGTTACCATCATCCATTGCTCATCTGATATTGTCTGCAGCCGTCTTTAGGCCCATCATTTCCGCGTCGTAGGCCTCCACGTATTCTCCCATGGCACCTTTTTCCTCGAATATGACTTTTCCGCAGGTATATCCTACTGTGCTGTAGCCGGTTTTGATCCTTCCATCTTCTTTGTATCGGGAGCCGTCCGAGTATACGAAGAGGAGGTCTGGGTCATCTTCGCATTCAGTGGTGAATGCCGAGTGGTCATCGGCCCATTCCTGTTTTACTGAGTCGCCGGGTTTATTGGGTGGGGTAAAGAGTTGTATGCGTTCGGAGATGTCATGTTCGGAGATGGCCCATGGGCTTTCAAGGAGGGGGTTGATCCTTTCTGTCCCTGAGATGATGTTGTTGGCGATCCGGGTTATGCAGGTGGAAAATCGTTTTTTCGGGTCTGCCTTGTGTCTTTTGCTGGGGTCGAAGACTGGGAGGGGTGGTGGGGTGGAGGGGGTGGTGCATCTTCTTTGGTGTGGGTACAGTCTATTGATGACCGGGTGGTCATCGGGGAGGCGGGCGAGTCTGGTGGCCTCCATTTCCATCCTGTAATCTAGGTATAGGTCAATGGGAGGGATGGATGCTTCTATTTCCATGGCGTTGATGCTGGTTGTGCAGAATGCTCCAGTTAGCATTCTGAGGCACTTGTTCTGTAAGGTGGACAAAGTCTTTAGTATGAGTCCGGGTCTGGAGCGCCAGAAAACAGGGAGCCCATAGAGGGCGATTGGGAGGACGGCCCCTATATACATCTGGCGCAGATGAGTTTGGTGTATTCCTCTCTCTGAGTTTCCCAGCATTCTCAGTGCCTGTGCCGCGCTTGCGGCCTTCGCGGCTGTTTTCTTTACGTGCTCGGTGAACTTGAGTTGTGGGTCGAACCAGATGCCTAAGTATCTCATTAGGCTGGAGGGGTTTATCATTCTGGTTGTGCCTTCCTCATTCGTGGGTATGGTGATCGATGGGCCGGGGCCTGCATTTCTGCCGGTCCTGGATTTGGTGAAGTGCATCAGGTCATTCTTTACTTGGTCAGTTTTGAGTCCTCTCCTCCTCAGCCAGCCATGGGCTGCTGTGAATGCCAGCTGAACTACTTTTGACGCTTCGGCTCTTGATGGAGCTGATGCTGCCAGTGAGCCATCGTCTACATATAGCGTTAGCGGCGATAGTTTTATTAGTCCCTTGTTGAGTTGTGGGCTTAGCTCTGGGTCTGCAGCCAGCTTTTCCATGGTCTCCTCTGCTACTGCTCTGCACAACGGGGAGGTGAAGAATGCGGCAAGGATTGGGGAGACACATGATCCTTGTGGGACGCCTGTTGTAATCGGTTTGAGTTTGTCACGTTTACCGTCGAGACAGATGGCCACCTTTCTGTCCGTTAGGAAACTGTGGGTCCATTTGACTATGGGAATGGGGATGTGGTGTTTCCTCATGGTGTCGATGAGGTGTGTATGGGGGATGAAGTCGAAGAACCCGGTTATGTCAAAGGTAAGCATTGATACCACTTTGGCAGCCTCTATGTCGTGTGTGATCGTGAGTAGAGCATCCTGCACTGATCTTCCAGGTAGGCCACCATACTGGGTGTTGGGGAATAGCTGGTGTTTCGCAGCTAGGAAGGCTAGTCTGCATGCTTGAACTCTTTCCAAGGCTTTGCCTGAGACCTCTAGGAGCTGGATGAGTCTATAGGATCGGGGGAGTGCATAGTCCTTGTTGGGTTTCTGCAGGGCTACCGCGATGGCAGTTCTCCATATTTTGGGGTGGTATCCTGAGTCGGCACATAGTCTCAGGAGGTGGTAGATCTCATTTTCCATTGTTTGCCATGCCCATCGCCATGCTCGGCCCGTCAGGCCTGATATACCTGGTGCATTGAGTTGGGCGGCTGTGAATATGGCATCGCGGACTTCTCTTTTGGTTACACTGATGTACTCCATATCCTCATTGGAGGGGGTGAGGTTGATTTCTGGGGCGTCAGGTAATTGGGGTGGTTGGGGGAAGAGGTTTTCACGTAGTATATTGCATTTGTCTTTGTGGTTTACTGCCGGGTGGTTTTTATCACTCATGATTGGGGGTGAAATATATGTTCTTTGGCATTTAGTCCACTTTCGGAAGTCCCACAAGTTGCTCGGGTTGGCTTCTTCTGTGAGCTTACGATAGTGTTCCTGTTTTGCTTTTCTGATATGTGTGCATATATCTTTATGCAGGGATTTTACTTTGTCCGCGAGGTATACTGATGGATCGTTGAAGTCTTTCACCCATCCTTTTAGTGATTCTCTGGTTGATCTTAGTTCACGGTACATTTTAGTTAGGTCCTCATTCCACCAGGGTTTTGAGGCCTTGCTGGGTCGTCTGAGAGGGATGGATTTTGCTGTGGCACTTTCCACTAGTTTGTGGATGGTTGCCGTGGCTTCTTCAAGTTCCTCGGGAGTTGCTGTGCGTCGGTTTATGTTTAGTAGGTTGCCCTTTAGGCTTTCTACTTTTTGGTTTTCATGCATTATTTCTTCTACTAGTGCTTTAGTGAAGTCCTCCTCATTTGCGTGCTTCCAGTTTAGTTTAGATTCGCAGGGGTTTATGACCATCTCCCTGGGGGGGCCGATTTGGAAGATTGTAGCATGGTGGTCTGAGAGGCAGCCAATTTCCGTGTCGATGTAGTGTCCAGAGATGGCCCCGGCCCCACTGGCTGCCAGGTTGGCAAAGGTTAGGTCGATCACGGATGAGTGGCCATTGTTGTCTTCCCAGGTTGGTACATAAGGTTCATTGTAGAGTGTATATGTGCCGCCTTCTAGCCATTCCAGAGTGTCCAGGGTTCTGGGGCATGGTGCGTTGACATGGTCATCCCAGTCTGGGTGTCAGATGTTCCAGTCACCCGTGAGGATGGTTGGAATATCCGTGTCCATCATAGTTTCCGCCAGTCTGTCCACTGTGTATTCTTTTGTTCAGTTTGCAGCGAGTGGTTTTTGGTTGTATATGTTGATGAATCTTACTGGTTGTTGCATTGCCCCATTTCTCTTAACATCTAATATCATGTAGTCGAGGTCCGATGCTAGGTCGTTCCTCAGTGTTAGCTCTATGTTCGCTCCCTGTCGGAAGTATGCCATAGTTCTAGGCCTATCGCCTTCAGCGATGGGTTGTTTGGGGAGGATGGTTTGCCACCCCTTGAAGGCGACTGGAATGTGTATGTCATTTACTTTATGCCACCAGGGCTCTTGTAATAGAAGGATGTCAATCACGGGTTTTCTCCACTTGGAGATGAATGGCGGCCTGGGTGGCCGCGTTGGAGTGGTTGACATTTAGGCTGCACACTGTCAATGTCGCTGGTAGTTTAGGTTGTCGAATCATTGAGGTGGCCCTTCAGGTTGGCTCAACGGTTCGATTTCCATCTGGTGGTTGGTAGGATTGGGTTTTGGTCTGGAGATTCTGATGGGGGGAATTGATGCTATGCCTCCCCTCGCCCTTGCGCTTACCATCTTCACCACTGAGGCTCTTTGGGCCTCCGGGGATTGTTGTTGACTCAAGATGTTGCTCAGGTCTTGGTCCGATAGACCAAGGTCTGGGGCTTCATCTGGCACGGACTGAGGGGTAGGTTGTTTTTGCTTACTTTTGCCTTTCCTTTTTGTCTGTTTCTCCGCTTGGGCGGGCGCTCGGGGCTGAGGTGCAGGCGCGCGTTTCGGGGTTGGGGGGAGTCCCATGCGGCTTCTTCTGGCCTTGCATTCTTTATGCATGCTATCGTGGTTGCCCTTGCAATTGATGCAGCGAAGGTTGTTGTCCTCCGGGTGGTCTGTGGTTTTGTGGTCTTTTGCGCCGCATTTCAGGCATCTGGCTTGTTTGCATACAGCAGTGTGGTGGGACAGCATCCCGCATTTGCTACATGTGTGTACTTGTATGCGGTCTTCATATGGCATGATGGTGCATCTGGAGTTGAATAGGTAGACCGTTCTAAGGTTAAGAAAGGTGTCTCTGTCTTGTTTGTTAGAGAAATCAATAACAATTGAGGCATGGTTCTTAGCGTGGATAGTCTCATCTGAGCCGAGCCACTTTGGCAGTCTCCAGTGCTTCAGGCTGTTGTACTGTGGCACATAGGTGGAAAGTTCCTCGTGCACCATTCCTGAGGAGATCGGGTCATCATTGTTGTGTGTCGGGATTTTGTTGATCTTGACACGGTAGTGTTCCACATCTGGCAATACAGATGTTACCTCGTTCTGGGTGATTGTGGCTGCCATCTCATGTCCGAAGGCGATGAGGTCGGAGGCTTTGCATGTCGGGGCTGTTGTAATTTTGATGTTACCCACTACCGAGTAGCCAATGGCCATAACTCTCAGGTAGTGCGGGATGTTTTTCTTCTCTAGGAGATCATTGATCTTCTCTCGTGTTACGATGCCACTCAGGCGGTCTTCTAGTTTGATCGGGGGGTTCACCTGGATGATAAGGCACCTCGGGTCCACTGTTGAGGTGGGTTCAGTTGAGCACGGTGTCGTGTCATTTTGGTTGTTGACCGGGTCAGCTGGGATGGGCAGTCGGGGGGTCTGGCTGCCACACTCGCCCATGTTGTTTTGGGTGCCGACATGGGAGTGGCTGCTGTCTCCGGGTCTCTGGGCAGGGCGATGGGCGGTGCGGTGTGGTGTGCGCTTTGTCCTAGTTCTAGTGTATGGACTCTTTGTGTTAGTTCTGAGAGTATGTCGTTTAATACGGTGAGGTTATTAGGGTTGGACTCAGCTGTGCCCGGTTTCGTGTTCTCAGTGTCCAGTGCCAGTATCTCCTGGAGCCAGCTCTTGAAGTAGTGCAGGTGGTTCCATATACCTGTGTCTCTGATGATGGCGAGCCCATCTAGTGTGTCCCACATCATTTCAGTGACGTTGCCGATGGTTTGGTAGTCGTCTTCTGTGGGGTCTGTTCTATGCCAGAGGGTGTCGGTCTCCATTACTACGTCTGCTTGGCCATGGAGAGAGAGCTGTATGGCATTGAGGTTCGGCCAGTTGTTGGGCGTTTGGTGTGTCGGCATCGGGTGGCTTTCGGGTGGCCCTCCTGGGTCCGAAATTTGACGTTCGGTCATGGTGGGGGGTTGGATATGTTAGTAGGTGAGTGGTAGGGTGCTAGGGTGTGTGTGTGTGTGTGCTTCTGTTACGGCCAACGTTAGCCCTCTCTTTTCGAGGTGGTGTCACGTGCAAAGCAGAGGGTTGTCAGCCAGGTCTGCACTGATATGGCGACATGGCAAACTCCGGGAGGGTGGGAAAGTGGAATTGGCCTCGAACCCACAACCCCTGAGCTCAAACATCAAGGCTGAGCTGAGCAGTTGCAGTTCCTAATCAGACCCCAATACAGATAGGACACTAGCTAGTATCGTCCTATCAGCTCATCTCGAAAGGCCCAGGAGGCTCCGCTGTTGGAGATCAGCCTCCGACCGCCAGTGTTGCACAAGACCAAGTCAGACTCGAAGTCACGGGGACCCGGGTCAGACCGGGGTCGGACTGGGGTCTCGGTCCATCTGGGGTCTGAGCCAACGGGGTTAAAATGGACTAACGGATTTAACTACATGTGTCTCCATCCTAGCTCCGTCAATACAGATCGTGAGAACATTTATTTACATTGCGTAAGGCTTTGAATATCGGGATTTCCCGTCGAAAAGTCTGACTTGCACGGACCGTGAGAGAGACTTGAGACCATTAAGTCAGACTCACGGACCTCGGTCTTTGGGACCATTTGGGACCAGGTCCGTACAACACTGCCGACCGCCCTATGGTTTTCTATAGCCGCTTGCCGCGCATCGAAATGAATTGCCTGACTCGGACGGTTATCATGGCTGTGAATTCGTAATCGCTTGATTACCACTTGTCCCTGCCGCCCCTTTCCTGTCCAGCAATTCGCCCGTCATCCACAATGTCACTGAAGCAAAAGGTCAATGATCCCCTTGCGACGGGAGTTGACTGCAATTTCCATTCTCACAGTAATCAATGCCGCATCTGACGCGCTCCCTCCCCTAAAAGGTGCCACCGGCGGGGCACTCTTCATCTTGGACATAGTTAAGGTTGGTAGCGATTAATATGCGGAATTAGGGACGAAAGCGCTGATAATTTGTGCTTTGTAGAAGTTCAAGGAGAACAGGAATCAATGGGAGGCTTTCGGAACATACATCGTCAAAACCATGGCTGACGTGGTCACGGCCGTTGATTCGTATGATGCGTCGAGCGAAGAGGGAAAGCGATGGGTAGAAAACGTTACAATGCTAAGCGAGTAAGCAGCATCTGGCCCATGGATTCACTGGCCCCCTGGCTCGTAATGACACGGACGCTTGGTAGGGCATTACAGCGTATCAAAACCAAAATCAGTCAATTGCTTCTCAAGATGGAAAAGCGGCCCGCTGTCATCAATTTCATCTCTCACATGAACAATCTGGGCATGATCAGTGACCTCAGGAAAGATTTCGGTGAAGCTTTAGAGTCGTTCCAGGTAACAACGCCCAATATTCGCTGTTATTGTGTCGCCTTTCTGATCTTAAGGTGGCGGTCATCACGTAGGTGAGGACGAACTTGACATTTGGTGTTATTGAAAGTACAACTCGCGGAATCGAGGGTGCCTCGGCTCTGAGCGAACTCCGATACCCCGTTATCGCCCACCATGATTCGACTAAGGCATGCCTCGGCGGCACTAGAATTGATCTCATCAAGCACATTATGGCTTGGTGCTATAACGTGAGGGAGAGCGAGAAACGTGTGATGTTGTTGACTGCTGTGGCCGGTGCTGGCAAGACATCCCTCACGCACTCAGTTGCAGAGAAGTGTGCGAATGGAGGCATGCTGTTGTTGAGCTTCTTTTTCAAAGCAGGAGAGCAATCGCGGCCAGATCACCTGTTCAGCGGCATGGCTCGATCTCTAGCAGCGCATGACCCTACCTACCGCACCTCAGTCATATCTGCCCTTAAGAAAGATCCGACTCTCGCGACTGCCCCATTCACAATGCAATTCATTAAATTAGTGGCTGAGCCTCTCCGTCGGAAAGCGTTGCCCTCCGATCGTCCCATGGTGATTATTATTGATGCCTTGGATGAGTGCGAGCAACAAGCGTTCGAGGATCTGGCCGATATACTTCGAGACGGGATACCTAAGCTACCATCTGACATCAAGGTTTTTCTCACCTCGAGACAATTCGACCTTACGAATCGTTTCCTCCCTCCCTATTCTCCTATCGATCGCATCAGCATCGATCTCTCGGACGGTGTGAACGTGGAGGACTGTGCTACCTACATCCGTATGCACGGAAACTGAAGGATGTGCATCCTAGTTTGAGAGATGTACTCGGAGAACAGGACAAATTAATCCAAAACATTCTGGAACGAGCGGGTGGCTTGTTCATTTGGATCAGAATCCTCAGCACTTCATCGTTATCTGGTGGATACGAAAAGGGAAAATATCCGAGTGGCCCTGCGTTGCGTTGAGACCTTGAATGAGGACCTTTGCCGTATGGACGGTTTGAAGTTAATCCAAAAATTGCCTGAAAAGGTCGAACTGTCCCCCATTCCTCCAGAAATGCTGGCCGAACACTTCCGTTACGCGTGTCGGCATGTTGTGTGTCACCTCAACCAAGTTTTGGAGCCTCCAGAGAGGCTCAATGCGTTGGTCCTCACATTTCTTAATCAGCAACTCACACGTTGGGTGGAAGTCTGTGTGAGGATGGAAGGATACATTAGTATATCTTCGTTCCCTGAATGGGCTAAGGTACGAATCATTACTTCAACTTGCGAATCATTCTCATTTCGTCTGGTGCTCCGTCAGTTGAGTACTGATGCGGGTTCAAAGGAAGAGATGCAGAAATTGGCCCAAGTACTTAACAGATTGGAGAGGAATTGGTCATTTTTTTCAAGATTTCGGGAGGGGTGCGAGTTCGCGAATGATTCGGTTGCACTTTGGCGCTGCCTTGTAGCAGTGGACTCAGAGTCATACACCCCGGGCTTGGCTCAGTCGCACCAGAAGCTTCGTTTGGTATTCGTCAAACTCGGACGGCGTTCCGAGGCACTCGCTGTGATCAAAGAAAGTGTCGAACTCTGGCTGGCTGGCGTCCATCCGACATCATACACCCCACCTCTGGCTGCATCACTACGGGATCTCGAAATTACGCTCAGCAATCTTGGAAAGCATTCGGAGGCTCTCCCAGTGATTGAGGAAAGCGTCAAACTCTGCCGCGATCTAGTTTTCGTTGATCGGATATCGCACACCCCGACTCTGGCGTTGTCGCTCCGGAGACTCAGTGTTTCACTCACTAACCTTGGACGGGGTTCCGAGGCATTACCAGTGATGGAAGAAAGCTTCAAACTTTGGCGCGAACTAGTTACCGTTAATTCAACATCACACACACCGAATTTGGCACACTCACTCTACTACTTTGGCATATCATTCCACAGCCTTGGTCGCCATGCCGAAGCCCTACCTTTAGCTGAGGAATCCGTTTCTATTTGGCGTTCGCTGTTCGCCAACTACCCTAAGTCATATGCCTCCAATTTATCCAAGGCGTTGAACTTTTTATCCGCCATCTTTTCATCCCTGGCGCGCTATGCAGAAGCACTTGACTCGGGTGAAGAGTCATTATCATTCTATCAGGAACTCCATGTCGAATACCCCGACGCCTATGTAGGAGAGCTTCAGCGGTCATATTCTCGCATTGCTCGTGCATTGGAGGGTCTTGGAAGACTTGAGGAACTGGCAGCTGTATCCGCTCTCATGGGAAAATTACCACGAAGAGAAAGCGCATAAACTTATGCATCCACACCCAGCATGCCACATCCCATCAGACACCCTACACCAATGACCACAGACTCGATTAAAAGTCCACGCCGCCAGAGTTCGCTTTATCAACTACGTTGTATTCCCGCTGCTGAGTATCCGAGAACACAACGTGCTTGCCCTAGTGGGGACCCATTGGAGCACGGAGATATACAGCCAGGAAGTCCTGAACCCATTCGCAGAGATTAGACCTTGGTGTCGGTGTTTCCGTTTGGTGACTGATGGCGAACGGGACGTGTTCAATTATCTTGTCGTGTTGGATAATTAGCTACTGTGGAAATGATCTAGCTAACCTCTTTTGTTGAGCCAACTGGCAGGCCAGGCCATGGTTTCATGTCGAGTTTGCGCCTCACTCTCATACAGGAATTGCACAACCGAACATCATGCTCAGACCGATCGCTTCGTCGATTGCAATTCCAACTCTTGTGTCCAACCAACCCCCAACACACGCCCCTCTGCGGCCCTTTGTAAATAGGCTTCGTTTGACTGCCCAATGTGTTATGAAGTTGTGGATATCGTTTCGTTGGGATTTAATCGAGGTACGAGATTAAATGAGACTTGTGTGTTACCGGTTATTCGCACTCACCTTCGTTATCTTTCTTTACTCCTATTTACAATTACTGGATCCTCGGTTGTTTGCATGCCTTTCTCGCGATCGCTGCGCTGTAACCGCTGAACGCCTCGATTCATTGCGTGAATGTATTGTCCAATGTCTTTACGTCCAAATAGGAAATATGTCAATGAAAGCAAGCGCTTGACACGGAAGGAAAGCCCGCTACCAGCCTACTTGATTTGGTCGTCCTTGTCATTTCCATTTCACTCTTTACCGACTCTGACTCCACGGTTCGAATCAAAAGAGATGCATGTATGGTGCAGCAACAGTGACAGATGTCATTAATCAGCCATGGACGCTAAATTGTTACTTCAACTTGAAATTCATGACTTCCTCGTGTCACTTGCAAGTCTCCGTACCATTCCCCCTTGACTCCAAGTGGCGACAGACACAACTTTCGCCGTCACTTGTAATATATCGTCCTCATTGAGAATTTTTCCCCTCACCCCTAAATGTCTATTCGGTCCCGACCTGGTAATCTGTCGATTATATAAGCTTATCCTTTGGCCCCAATGTCGTCCCTCTTATGTCCAAGCATTGGATCGGGGATACATTTTCGTGGCATTGTACGCTCTGAACCTAGATAACAATACTGTAAATCCGGGCGGGCGCTAGGGTGTCTAGGGAGGGCGTGAGAAGTGTTTACTTAAGTCACCATCTAGAACCACATCTTACTGTAACGCAATGTGCTGAAGAATGCAGTCCTCAGTGCCGGCATCTTTCCTCTCACAAAGCAAACATTGCCACCATTCCCTGGCCACTGCACACGATGCTCTGGCGGCGGAGAGCTCCTGCCCCTCAAGAACTCTCCATTCTATCGTCGTGTTGTGGGGTATGTTAAGGTGAAGGCCTTTACGACAGTGCTCTACCTGCTTGCAGCATGGAACATCATGAGTGATAGGAGATGAAGGACACGCAATTTACGCACAGCACCCATTGGTTGAGACACCCTGGCTCCGCAACCAGCTTGAACACAGGTAATGCATTCAACCCATATATCTTCTTCCACAAGTTGTGCAAAAGTCATAGTATCGGGGTCGTGCCCAGCTGAGATAATGATATTTCTCATCACAGATGACCCGGACTCATCCCATTGCCATTTACCACGATCAAGAGGTATTGAAAGACGAGGATATCTGGTGATACTCCAATCCCACATTCTCACAAAAAGGGTTCGGGCCAGTTCCAACGTTTCTTGAGTGGTTGACGATCTGAACTCTTCAGGGACTAATTTCAGTAGCTCCATCTTGGAAATCCTTGAGTGAGTGTTGGCAATGTCCTCGAAGCGGAGTGCCAGAGGCTCGAGGATCATGTCAAAGACCTCGGAATAATCAGTAAGATCTTCAATGTCATATAAGTTAGGCTTCAAAATGTCAAACAGAGCATCCTTTGAAGGTATAGGATTAGCACCAAGTTGAGCCAACGTCAAGTAGACCTAACCTACCTTGACAGCAGGGATCCTCCAAATCTCCGCAGGGATGGGCCAAATCTCATCACCTGGGTCACGGCACTCATACCAGGATCGATACCCTGCGACAATGAGGTCCCTTGCTTTGTAAGGAAACATTTCCAGGTAATTTTTCTCGCAATGTTCGATCGTCCTGATGGCATGTTTTTTCGTCCCCGCCCATTCTGCAGCGAACAATTTCGGTCAGCCAGCGATCAGGGTCACGGATGGCTCACCCTTATCAGTCAAGGGTTTAGACAGCCCGAGTCCTGTGAATCCGCTGTCGATTGCGAGGTCAATGAGTCCAATGGAATATCCAATCCCCTCTAATCTCGACTTTACACTAGGCAAGTCCAACAGTTAGTTACAGGGAACAACATCTACAAAATGAGGACCCACGCTTCCTCGCGCTCACAGCGAAGAGCATATAATTCAGCTTGGTGATCAGAAATGCGCTTTTTGGTCCATTCTGTACACAGCCTTGCATGCTACCGTCCCCCAAAAATCTCATAATCCAAGTAAGAGATGAAAATGAAATCGGCAAATACCTCTTGCAATGCCTTCTTTTTTTGTTTTTGGGCTGCAACGTATGCATCCCATTCCGCATCGGAGAATTCCTGTGCCTTCCACTCCAAGGCTTCAAGCTCGCTGACAGGACAAGTGTCCCGGCAATCTCTTCTCTGATCGCGACCCCCAGAACCTTATATACGACATAATCGGAGAGGTGTTATTATGCATAGTAGATCCTCACTTACCGGAAAGCCTTGCTTGGTAAACAATAAGATCGTGTTTCGGGTGCCCGCGAATGCTTACCCAAGGTATGGGTAGGTGGCAGTACTTCGAATCAAGCCTGTGACCGTTGGGCGTTAGAAACCACTGTTAGAGGAGTCGGTCTTCACATACGTCTCGCTCTGACACCTAAGACACCATCGTTTTCGCAGGTACCAGTTGACAGCCGAACGCGTAGGGGTCCCGCAGTTCTGCAGAATTAAATAATACGAAACCAGGGGAGAAATATTTGAGATGGGATTCTTATACCTGGCAGTGAGATCCGAAGCCCAGAAGGGCATACTTCTGTTCCGTAAGGTCAGGGTGGATCGGGGGCAAATCCGGTTCACACTTCTTCCGAGCCGCTTTCCACACACCGGCAGCGCTCGACCCCAGGAGGGATCGTGCAAAGATTTTCGCAGACCGCGCAACGTGAAGAAGATCACGAGGGTCGAGGTGAGAGCAAATCTGTGATGACGATAATATATGTTTTCAGCAATGTGTTCAGGATGCCTTACGGATTGATAACATACCTCAAGAACGATCTCAACTGGCGCCTTCTCCATAAGCGGCTGCAGCTGCCCGCGATTGCTCTGCCCAGGAGTACTTCCTCCACCCGTTGCGCCTTGTTTTTTCGATCGGGTCCTTTTTGGCTTCTTCGCGCTGGGGACTGAGGACCAAGGTTCCACCAGAATGCACGATGAATTCAATCTTTCCCCTCCTGTTAAACGGAGATTGCTTACCGCCCTCATCTTCTACGTATTTCACGGGCCGAGTGCGTTTGCGAAGTTCCCTTCTCGCTGGAAGGAAAAATTGTTACAGCAGGGGGTCTTAGTCAACGAAAGATTTGAAACAAAACGACCCACAGCCCCCAACTGTTTGTACTTCAACCACAGTCCACGAGTAATATAATGGACGAATGGGTGTTTGAATCGGTTTCTGGCAAGGTTCTACACTCACGACCATTGTTTGATTCTTGACTCCCGCCTTCAGCGGACGATGAAATAATTCAATTTGACGCGATTTCAACCACGCCATCAGATTGTGTACAACCCATGAGCCATGCAGATTAACCGACGCCCAACCATTGCGACGCACCTTTAACGCTGAAGTCCGCAGTAATTTTTTTTGCCATGGCAGCACTAGTAGAAGCTACTGGTACAAAGCTATTAAGGGGATGCCAACCAGGTTGGGTCTCAGAAGGAGCAAGGACTCCTTCAAGTCGCGTCGTCAATACATTTCTTCGGTACCGAGGTCTTGATCACACTCTCTACCACAAATGGGCGTGTCGCCGGAAAACGCACCGGTGCGTGGAATCCGCCCTAGTAAGCCGTAAGCGCCTGAACGTCATGGCGCTCGTGATAACGGTTTTTTATTTTATCAAGCCAGCGTAGAGAAATATCTTGAGGCACCTGCGAACGTGTCGGGAATGCCCGGACATATGCCAGCACCACTGCTAGCTCCCGAGATGTCCGTCTAATTATGAAGTTATAGAGGCTGGAGTCCTACCTACCCGAGATGAGAAACGAGTGTGACGTCAGGCGCTTGGCGTCCGCCATAGCGGACATTAAATCGAAAGGATATTCTGGCATGAGACTTATGATTCCGAAATTTCTGGACAAGTTCTCTTGTATCACTGCGTTTAGGGGAAGATTATTCGTAGCCGAATAGTACAGGAATATTCGTGATATTCTCTGTTGTATTGCACGCTTACTGATTGCAGAATAAGTCAGGAATACTTCTAAAAACCCCGCATGCTTTGACAGAGAATAGCACAGTGATTGCACTGACCGGATTTAGGGGGCAACAGCCACGTCTGGCAGTAACCGTGACTGAATATTTCTCTGAATATCACAGACTCGGAATCAGAGTCCGAAACAAATAAATCATCGGGCTTTTGAATCCAAACCCGACATTAATATTAATTATTCAATATTATTATTCCCACGTCAAGCTGCTTGCCCATATTGCGCACCCCCCATTGGAGGCTAAAATACACAGAAGAACGATGAATACATCGAACAGTAGTACTACTGGCCCTGAAGGAAATGACCTCGATGTCCCATCCACCTCACCCTCCCTAATGGCCAGAACCAACTCCAATCCTCAGCTCGATCTGTACGGACATGCAACCAGTACCAGCACATCTGGCACATATGGGCCCCAGCCCCCCTACACCACATTGTCACCGCTTCCATGGACAGGATATGGACTAAATGCTGGTGGGTGTTAGTTAACAGACAAAAAGATGTTAAAAATCCTTACTGAACGCATTTTAGGTATCCTGAACACTGCAGTGGCAAACCCAAATCAAAATCCTAGAGGGCCAACCTATGGCCAGTGTTATGGAAATGGGAATTTCCCATTTCTAGCCTCTTATGGGCCCTGTGTACTATAATATCACGTGACATGTAAATAGTAACAACTGTCAGGGCACACCTGCCTGACCTGGCTCCACCCATCCTCACCCAGTATCCCACTCACCTCTATTCCTCACCCTTCATCATGGTTCCTCATTTCTTGTTCTTCTTTCTGTCCTTTTGTTCTTTTGTTCTTTTGTTCTTTCTTCTATCTTTATCTACATGGATGACCTTTCCCCATATCTATGTATTACTGACCTGCCCACGACGTGCGCATGACACACCCAGCCCCAGATGACCTGGATGGCCTCACAGTGCAACCCAGCACACGCCCTCAGGATCCCCCACGGGGACACCTGGATGACTGCAGCTGTATGCAGGGTGATGTGGCAAACCTCATGTGACCCAAGCCGCATGTACATAAAGGTACCTGGGGTGGGAACTGAAGAAGTAACCTTCTTCTCACAGTTCCCACCTCAGGTAAGTAGCATAGCTTCCCTTTTCAATAACAACTCACAGTTCCCACTTCAGTCTGAGTGGCCAGGGACCATCGTCCCGGACCGGGCCTGTCAGTACACACACCCACTCCACACCCCATGACGGCCTCAGCACTGGGCATTACACCCAGGCCCCCTCGACCCTGGATGCGTCCCTGACAGCAGAAGAAGGTTTTAACCTTATCTCCCCCACCTCCCCCATCTCCCCAGCCATGGTGTCAGAAGAACAGTATGACGACCTGCTGGCCCACTTCCAGGAGCTCCAAGCCATTGTGGAGAGCCAAGCCTGCAACCACCCCCCACCTGCACCTGCACCCGCACCTGCACCCGCACCCATGTCTGTACCCATGCCCAAACCACCAAAGGTCGCTCCCCCCACTCCCTTCTCGGGAGCCAGCGAAGACCTCGACTGTTTCAAAGCCGAGTGTGGGATCTACTTCCATGTCCACGCAGCTGAGTTCCCTACCAAGCTATCCCAGATCCTCTTTGTCCTCTCCTACATGAAGGGAGGACCTGCAGGGGTGTGGGCGACACAATGGACAATCACCCTGTTAACAGCTGGCTCCCCCACCATTACCATGGATGAGTTCAACATGGAACTCAACGCCATGTTCCAGGACCTGAACCGGGAGGCCACAGCCCAGCAGAAGTTGGAAGTCATCTGCCAAGGGACTGACTCCATGGATAAGGTCATCCAGGAGTTCGAGATATTGGGACCCACCTCAAGGCTAGGTGATGTTGGGCTGGTCGACCGATTCGAGCAAGCAATTAACTCCCGGCTCAGGGAGAGCATATACCACCTCCGCCCCATGCCCACCACTTGGGCTGAGTGGAAGTGCGAAGCCACGCTTCTGGACAACCAGTGGCGACGTTTCCAAGCCACCCAACCATGCGCACCCCCACCCAGACCCCTGCTTCTGCCAGCTTGACCTCCACTGACCACAACCCCATCCCAGACGTGACCCACACAGACCCCCCCATGACCTGCTCCCACACCTCCGTCCCCCACTCCAGCAGCCTGTCCTATGTCAGGGACAGGCCCCCAGCTGATGGATCTCAACAGGTTGAGGACTGACCAGAGGTGGTGCTACAACTGTAACACCACAGGGCATCTCGCATGAGAATGCCCACACCCCAGGGTCAGCTGAGTATGACATCTCCACCCAGAAGACCTAAGAATGCTGATGGAAGGGCTGAAGAGACAGCTGACTGAAGGGACAGAGATGGTGGATGTTATGGAAATGGACTAGAATCTTATGGTCCATGGCTGCAAGCAAGGGGACCCAGGGTCACCTCCATTTCCTCCTCCTTTATTTCATTGCCAAACCCCATGCCAAGCTTTCCCACTGGGTTTTGGTGCTGGCTGGGGGATTTGTTGAGTTTCAAGGGACTTCCCTTGACCATTGTGACTTTTATATTAGATAGTTAGAAGTCATATGACATGTAAGGCAGATGCCGGAAATGTTCTCCTTATCAAATATACAATCTCAGAGTATCACCCAGTGATTGTAACTGTCACCCCAGTGTGCCACCACCTGTAAACCTTCCCTGTAACATCTGACTTGGTCCATATCGATGTCTACATCGATGTTCTTTGTTGGAATACGAGTCACATGATTAGATTGAACTGGAATATCCGAGAATATTCTATAGGTTACTAGGCGCCTGCGTAAGCGCTGAGCATGGAAGAGCCTGGAATGTTATTCAGGAGTATAAATATGGGTGCTTTAGCACCATATGTTCTTTAGTTAGTTACAGTTTCTTTTCTTCTTTCTATATTACATCTGGGTTGCGAGTGAACCGCTGAAGCGGGTTACCATATTTGGAACGCCGGATTTACAACATTCTTACAATCCATGAGGAAACCTCAACGACCCGGTGAGTGCTCAGACACCGGACCTCGCTCTTCCTGCTCCCACCCCCACACTGGGTGGTTGAGCTCCCATTCCTACCCTTCCTGTAGGACCCTACCGGGTCCTACAACCCCTCCTCCCTTCTTGGGAGGGAGAAGTGACTCAGGCAACCCCAGGATGCTTGGCCATGTACCCATGGGCCCAAATTCCCACAGTCACTCATTACCGTGTGCTAGTCAACCAACCTGCTTGCCCCAACAATTCCCTCTACTGGTACACTCCCCTGAGTGCCAAGTAACCAATAGTAGACCACTGGGCTGCTCCCTCAAGGAGTGCCAAGTCACTGCTAGCCAACTGTTAGGTGGCTCCTTCAAGGAGCCCCCATTATACCTGCTGCCAGTACGCTCCTCGGAGCGCCAAGTTGCTGCTGGCCAACTGTTAGGTGGCTCCCTCAAGGAGCCCCCATTATACCCGCTACCAGTACACTCCTCGGAGTGCCAAGTTACCATTAGTACACCTGGCCTCAGATCTCCTCCTGCTCTCCCTTCAATGGCTATGCAGCCACCTCCATCTGTGAGCAGAACGGTTCAGGTTGGGTTCCCCAGAACCCATTCCTGTAACAGTGGAGGGGGAATCAGAAGCAGAACCTCAGAGGGATTTTCAGGCAGGTGACTGGTAAGGGATGTGTCCTGGCCGCCTGTAGAAGATAGCTCATGTAAATACCGCAGCGTGCGTAAGCCAACGCCAATGCCAAAGTTTCATTGAGTCATCGCAAAGAAAAAGAGGAGAAACGCATCCTCCACCCATGAGAATGAGAAGACCCCAAGGGCAGTAACGCCTGAGGTAGCGGTCTCCCCCCCAGCCATTTACGTCCTTTCCAAGCAGTCCCCTAGATCCCTCAACCTCACAGTGAAACTGACCGCCCTAACCTCCCTCGCATCAGTATCTGTATCAGCCCTCCTGGACTCAGGGGCCACCGGGAACTTTGTAAGCCCCGAGTTCATCCAGAAGCACAACCTAGAGACAACCTGTCAGGGCCCGGCCTCTGTCCGGGGGCGGCCCTACCTCAGAACTGGACACTTGCGGTGTCCCAGGCAGCCAAGTGCTGGATCCTACCCCAAGC